CCCAGGTGCAGGACCTTGCACTTAAGTTAAATGCTGTCACATCTCTCTATAATGCTATTCTCTGTTACAAAGAGGGGGAAAAATGAGTGTTAGGGCCCAAAGAAAGAGGTACGATTGTATCAACTGCCTTCCGGTCCCATTCCTGGCTCACACAGAGCACGGCATGTATGTGATGAAGGGGTGGCGTGGCACTGCTTTGTAGAGCGGCAGGTAAGCGCGGGTATTATTAAAAGACCAAGCATGCAGCCAGAGCAGCAGGAGGCTTGGATTTCTGTTTCAAATGAGAAAAATCAGGTCTAAATACAATCGAAAAGATGTTCCAGTAAATGGTCAAAACTAACTCTTCCACAGGGGGATGAAACAGGAGACACGAACAAGCTCGTGTGTCAGTGACCTATTTTTGGGTTTTAAAGCAGCCCAACACTTCTCCCAACTGTGTAATGAGGTCTCTTCTCTGCTCCCTCAGCTATAAAAACCTACAAAAGAAGCACTCAAAAAACTTCCAAGAGTGCCCGAGATTTCTTCTTGGGTAACAATTTGCCTTTTCAGCCATTAGATGGTGCTGAAGAGTAGTACAGCACCTCGAAAGTAGGGCTTTCCCGAGAATAAACCAACCTTCCTACTTTTAACATCCGATTTCTTCTGCTCATTAGGAAACTTCACCGGCTCATTCTTCTCTGCTTTCAGCCTTCTCGCCTGAGCTGTCACTGTGAAAGGAAACTGTCCAGCAAATACCCATTTTCATACCTGCTGCTTTGAGAACTGCTGCCAACTTCGCAGAGCCCCTTCCCGCTGCGATGTGAAGAGGAGTTGTCCCGTCATACGTAGTGCTGTCCACATCTGCATCACCCTGAGTTGTTATTGAACGGCGGAAAGAAAAGTGTTACTCCTTTACCCAACACGGCAGAGACTCAGTCTGCACAAACGCCGCTACTGTGCCAGTGAGCACCGTTCCACACTGCCTGCAGAGAAACCTCTGATCATTGTCTGCAAAGAAGGAATCGGAAAGGAATGACATCCGTCTGCCTGCAGGAACGATGGTTGTGCGCTCCGACGTTACAGCAGGAGGCACGGCCTATAAACCCGCATAGGTCAGGTAGGTAACAGCGCTTGGTGTCCCACGTCACAGTTCTGCCATCTGGCTACCCGGGGCATTCGGAGGCTGAACGGGTGTGCTCGAAAATCTGCCTTCCTGCTGCTCAAAGGAGAACGGGCAGGCTGCTGGCACGCGGCTACTGAGGAAAGCTACCCCAGCCAGCGGTGGGCGTGCAGAATTAAGCATACTGGGCTCAAGGTGTTAAAGAGATAAGACAAATATGTACAGATATAGGCAACTAGCCCTCTGTGTGCATCCATATACACATTCCACTTCACCCAGCTGAAGTGGCCAACTGGATCACGAGTAGTTTCGGCGGCTGCGGGAATTACTCGGTGCAGATTAAACGTGGCACGTGTGGTCAGGTCAGGGTCGTGAACTGTCAGTTTCTCAGCCTGGGCAAAAGGCTCGCCAGCAGCACTGAACAGGTAATAATGAACAACACTAGCAATTATTTTGCTATCAAAATCAGTAAACAGGAAGCCCCCTCACTTCTGTTCCTCTGAAGCACTCCAGCATTTGCAAGAGTTTTTAAACGTGTAAGTGAAAAGACCAGGAAGAAGTTCTGCCCTTACCTCAAGCAAAAGGCAGCCTGCCAAAGGGACGTTCTCTTGCTCAACAGCTAAATGCAACGCGGTTCGTCCAGATTTTTGTTCCTGAGCGTTGACGTTAACTCCAGCAGCGATCAGCTGTTTGAGGCAGGACATGCTGTTTGCAGTCACCGCCAGGTGAATTGCACTGAGACCTACACAAAACACAACCCATCTGTCAGGTGCATTAGTGTTTGAAAAAAGCAGAAATGTCAGAGTCCCGAGTTCTGAAGTGGCCGTGGCTGTGAGAAGTGTGAAATGAGCGAGAGTTCGTGGAGCTGTCTGGACAGAAGTGACATATTTTGCCTGCTTATACACTAAAAGATGGTGTTAATAAAAATGTTCTTTGTGCATAAATTGGAACCAGTTGTGTTATTGATGGCGAGTCAAAGTCATGCGTGGGGGGAAAAAAGTAAGTGGAACAGAAGGCTGGAACTAAAGAGGTCACCTAGAGCACCTCTTTTCCTCAGAGTAGCCTTGAAAAGAAAATCAGCATCTGATACTGAACAAGTAGGTACCCTGCACTGGCCCCATCTGCTGCTGAACATCACTTCGAGAAACAGTCTGGGGAGTAACTGGTACCTTTTAGTACCATCTTCCTGTAAGGTCAGCACTGCCCTGTCACCTCAAGATCACCTGCACCAGCTCAAAAGAAAATAATAAAGTCTTGTGTTCAAAAAAACCAAACGAACACACACCAACCCCAAACCAACCACACACACACATCCCCCCAAGAAATTTAACACAGTTTCTTGAATCCCATAATGACATTTTAAGGTTAGACATTTTACAAGCTACCAGAGCAGGAGTACTAAATTCACATGACCTGTGCCACTGAAAAATGAGATAATTGTGGCTTTCTGGTTATTTTATTGGCTCTAATGGTGTATGGTCACAAAGTACCAGACATGGAACTCGGCACTGGTCCAGAAATTGTTTTTGAGAGGCTTTCATTCACTAGTGAGGAGGGGGAAACATCTTTCAGGGCAATTTTTTAAAAAAGTGGTTGCATAAGGAATCTCAGGAAGAACACAGCACTTGAAGTTTGCTAGAGTAAAGAGAACATACAGTAACAAAAATTCAAATCCATACTGTGTCATTTGGCCATTAGCAATCCTTATGTTCTGTATAACCAGAAGACCTACACGTCTGCCTGTGTTCTCTCATCTGTGACTGCAGGCATGTGAAAGACAAGGAAAAGCATATGCAAAATGGGGAAAGATGCTGTTTCCAAGGTCTGTATCCACCCACATAGAAACACGTGGCATTGTCACGAACCGAGGTGTGCTTGTCCAGCAGGCAAGTGTAAAATGCAGCCATTCTCTTTCCATACCTTCACCATTGAAGAGGTCAACCATCGGAGCTATTTTCTCATACTTGAGGAGTAGACTCAAAATCCTGTCATCTCCTTCAGTAGTGGCTAAATGTAAGGCAGAATTACCATGGCGATCCAGAAGGCTGACATCTGCTCCAGCCTTCAGCAAGGCTTCTACCACCTCTGCCTGCTTTGTGATTACTGCCAGGTGCAAGGGGGTCTGGAATGACAGAAGCATGCCGTGAGAAGTTAAGCAACAGCTGCATCACTTCCACAGCCATCTCTTACACCCATAAAAGCTCCTGGTGCGGGAAGCTGTTACTCCACCTCAAAGCTAGCAACGATGAAAAGCTTGTGTACATACACATCTTCTCTTACCACAGACTACAAACGGGGTTCCTGCTTACTGGAAGTAAAAGCTGCCCAGCCAGTGTCAGCAGCTGGACTTTGGGAGGAACCAAGACATTGCCCACTCTATTAGCCAGGGCACTCACCTGGCTGTCTGCAGGTTGCCATGCAAGGGACTGGGGAAATGAGACGATCCCTGTGCCCCCAAACACTGTAACCCTGCTCCCAGCCGCCCCATAGCCAAGCTCATGCCACAGAGGGAGCACATGCACTTTCCAAGGCCTGCTCAAATCTGCCTTTGGCACTCAGCTGTGCTCTAATGATGCTCCTGAACGGGAGCTTTGCAGCCACGGGCTTCGGATTTCCTCATCCCTCAAAATGACTGGACAGAAAAGACAAAAATCCTGCTGTTCTGTATGTTTGCCAGAGGGCAGAGCAACCGTGCGCTTGCGCGGCACGTGTCTAGCTGGCTGACCCTGTCCGCACCTTCTCCGTTTCTGTGCAGAGACACCTGCAGTGCCCAGAGGCTCTCGGGCTGAGGGTTTAAGTCTTTCCAACGGTTGATTCTGCACGGCAGACCCGACGGGCTTGCCAGCGAACCGCATTGTACAGAACGCAGGCAGAAAGGTACCTATGTCAACGGTAAGCATTCCTGTAACGCTTGGGAAATCGTAGTTCCAACACTGAAATAACTTAAAAATTGCACAAGATTCCATCTCCACATCGTTATCCTTGTATTAGCAGGGGACTATAAAACCCAGCTAATTCTAGCTCCAGTGTTTGTCAGTGGATTTGCAATGAACTGCTGCATCTGTCAGGTACAGGGACGATTCGGCTGTCAGAAGACCTGTACAGAAGGAAACTCCTAGCCCAAGCCTACACTGCCTCCCCCCACTGCCTTAAGGGTTAAGCAGAAGGCCGGAATAGCTGCAGAGGTCCTGGTAGCTGGAGATTCATTTCTTGTGTTTTGCTTCCTGTTTCTGTTTGCTTGCTTTCACCAGCCTCCACGTTTCAAACTTGGTTTTTACCAACATAAAAATGAAACGCAAAAGAGAACAAAAAAGCCAAAATAACCCCCCTGGGGCTACCTATGTCGAATAAAAACCTTCCTTTTCTTTCCACAGCGAAAGGAACGACACGAACGCGTGCGTGCTGCCACGTAACCACCAGCTGGTTTCCTCTGGGACAAGCGGATGGTGTGCACAGCTGAAAGGAGATTCCTCTCCAGGCAGGTTCCCACAGCTCTTTTAAAGGCTGTCGGAGCTGTGACACAGAAAGCTCAGGCTGCCACAGCAGAGGAGGCAGAGTTCTTTCCCTCCCAGGTAAAAGACATGGGGCTGGGCTTGGCTTTGCTTTGCTCTAAGGTGAATCTAGAAGTGAAAGGGCAGTCTTGGTGCTTATGTGACGGGGCAGAAATACCCTTCTGGGCTACAGGAAGGGCATAGTTTGTTACAGCTTCCACACGACAACCGATGACACAGCAACTGATTCAATGATCCCGAGTTATCCTATGTTAGAGAGCCCAGGCGCTGTAATCCACACCGCTGGTTTAGCGACAGAGAAGCTGAATAATGAAAAGGTGATCTAAAGAATTTAACACTTCTGGCCTGTTGCACCATTAGCCCATGGAGACGTTTCTGTTAACAAGGGAAGTCCTCAACTGTAACAGTGAAAACACGCTCTTGGCTCCTCTACCACCTCACAATAAATATGGCATCGTGTTTCTAATCCTGTTTGCACTACAGTCTGATCTGGGCTCATTTCAACCAATAAGGGACAAGTAAGAAGACAGTAAGTTGTGCAATTTCTTTTTCACTGGCTGAACAACCAACACCACCCACACCAAGGCAGCTGCACACCGAACCTGATAAAGGTCGTTTCTCATGTTAATGATATCCTTGTAATTCAAATCAGGCATCACTTCCAAGAGGTTTTTCACCAGCTCAGTATGAAGGTGGATAATTGCTAAATGAAGGACACTGAAACAAACAAAGAAACCCCACATTAACAAAATCACACTATTTTCTAAGTTGTTATAAAGATTTTAAGGTTTTGCTGTAGGTCTGACTGGATTCTAACCGACACAAACACTTGGCTACTAGAGGTCATGGTTTCAGCACTACATACCAGCACCTAAAATGCATGCCACCGTTAAAAAATAGCCAGAGGGTAAGTGTGTTTAACCCTTCAGCCACTAAAGCAGACTGGGGATGGCTTTTGCTGGTCCATAACTTAACTACTAGTCTAACAAATACAAACTCTGTAGCACAAAACAATTGTTTCAGAACTCGTTGAAATCCCCAGATTTTTCGCTGCTTTGGTTTTAATTTTCATTATTTCAGTTACGCAGCACACAGACACCTCTTTATGTCAAAACCTTCCTTCAGAATTTCCACAGGCCTCTGCCACCAAAGCAGATTTTCCCTTGGGGGTTTCCCCAGATCTGTGGGTTTTTCTTTCCTTTGTTTTCAAACAGAAAACTGACTAAGGCCTCGGGCCTGGTGACTAACAGCCACAGGATTTGCAGCAGTGGCCACAGATGTCATGCCAAAGAAAAAACCTGGTCTGGGACGTGAGTGACTCTGCACAGCAAGACACTCCACCACTTCTACTGGGTTAATGCAACGGCCTTTCCTGTGCCCTTCCCCAGAGCCAGGCTCTTCCTCACCAGCCAGCGCAGCTGTACCTGCAAAATGGCACCAGGAAAAAAGCAGGTTGGAAATCTCATCACCCCTCTCCACAGAGTTCACTTTGTCTCGTTCCCTCGAGACTTCATTTCCAAGCCATGCCCTTTGTTTTGAATGGTACCTTGCCAAGGTCTCCCTTAACAGACGCTGGCCAACTTCTGGACTCATCTTTTAGCGTCTTGCAGCTGACACACAATGCCAACACAGGACACGTGGTGCGTTTGCTGTGCTGCTCCAGAAATACCTGAATGCACTCAGACCTACACTTTCATCAGAAAAATGAAAAGTTCTGTGCCATTCAGGGCATAGAGTCACCTTGAAATTGAGACTGAGAGCACTATAAAGGAGAAGATAATTTAAAAAGGGGGAAAATATGATTTCTAAACCAAACTCATCCTTGAAGGGCCTGTTTTATGGGTTCTGGACACTGCCACATGCCTCTTTCAACTCAACTCTGCTGCTCAGACAGGCCCACCACTACCATAAAAGAGCTGTTCCTCTGCTCTCTGGGAGATGATGCTTACTATGCTCTATCACGCTGACATTTTATTTCCAAATCTCACTTCAGAAACAAATTTCCTCTTCTACCGCCTTTAGTTCTCTTTCCTGTGGCAAGTATTTTAATTTTCCCCTGCCACTACACGTGATGCTGTAAAGACATGCTGACCAGACCATGGAAGGGCAGCCAATTCCATTATCTTAAACAGTCCTACATCAAGAAGGGGAGTTCAGGTGAGGAGGCAGTGCCGCTATACTGTCAGGCTTTTGGAGGGTGGTGCTACTGGCATAAACACAGCAACAGCCAGTGTTACGGAGTGCCCACTGTAACATACACTAATCACACATTAACGTATCTTGTATCAGAGCCATGAAACACAACACAGGGTCCCACAAAAGTTATTTTCATTCCCTACAAACTATATTCATCAAAGATGAGCAACATTGTTGTCAGCAACATTTCTTTAAAGGCTTAAGCCAAAGTTTTATCCGTTTTGCCATATAATGTTAATGACTGATGTGAAAATTGGGGAAATTTATGAGTTTTGGGTTTTTTTGTGGTTTATTTCAAACAGCTCCTGCAAGAGAGCTGGAAGACAGTTAAAAAATTGCAGCGTAATTTAGACGCGTTAGTATTCCATGCTCACAGAGTAAAACCCATCCCAGGAGAAAGGCAACATGAGCTCGAGCCTCACATGCAGTACTTCTCAACCCAGGAAGAAAACAGCTGTTCACCATCATTCTGAAAAGTATTTTGACTTTGCTGAAATGCCCTGCAAGTCCGAATCTGAGGGACACCTTATTGATACTTAAATGAAGGTCCTACTTGCTCTGTCTCCGACTCTGCAGCCCTTTGCATATGCTGCCGATTTGCAGTGCAAGCCAGGGAAAGCAGTCGCCTCTCACAGAGCAATCAAAGAGCAGGACAGCATGTCTCAGGTGTGATTTTCCATCTAGCTAGACACCTTAAGGCTTTTATGGCTTCTATTGTACAAAATACTGCAGTTTAAGGAAACATATGTGATTGCACAGGGCCTGCCCAAAGCCTGCCCCCTAACAAGTGAGGATGTGATAATGTCACTTGCTTACTCAAGGGATTATCTTTGCAGGTGTTTGGGGCCACTTCCACTGAATTTGCTTTTAAATAACTACTCATCAGGAGCTCCTCACTGTATTTCACCCTCTTCATCCCACAGAATCTGCATAGCTGTAGAGGAACAAAATGGATTTCTACTCCAGCTCACACTACTGAAGGTCTGATAAGCAAATATTAGCAGCCAAGTCTGCCACAAATGTCTGGGCACTTTCTTGAAGACGACAATACAGCACATATGTAAGCAGGAACAAAATACTGTCCTCTGGGAAGAACCTGGTCTCAGTGGGAGTCAAGCAGCATGGACCTTCAAACTATTATTTCTGCATCTCCCAGTGCATCTGTAACTTAAAGTTTCCTGTGAAGACTTAAGGAATGGAATAAAAAGCAGGGCACTCTCCTCCGGCACAAAGCTGAGGATGCCCATCAATTGTGTATCATGACGCAAGCGTAGCACTTCGTGGTCAGAAAAGGCTTTAGGTAAAAAAAAAAAAAAAGGCAAACGAACTCACACCAAGCCCAACATACCCTGAATGACCGGATTACTTTGACAGGTACTGGATCAATGAATTTTGTGGTGTGAGTGACTTTTCTGTAAGTGCAACAAAAACGTCTAAATCACAGCTGTATACCCCCCCCAAACTGAGCAAAGGAGCAGGCTGCAATTCCCCATCAGCACCCACAGGGGACAGAAAACACTGACCACACCATTCTGCCACTGAAAACCTGACTTTCAACCCAGTAAGAACAGGCCAACTTACTTGTCTCCGTTATCATCCTGGACAACAGTGAGGTGGCGCTGAACAGCCAAGAGCACCTTCACATCTCCTGTTACAGCATAATCGAAGAGCGCATTGCAGTGACGCTTGGCAAGCTGCATGGCTTTCTCCAGGAGCAGACCACCTGCAACACAAAGTAGTGCCTTCCTCAGACGGGTCTGTCTTCCCTGCAACATCACCTCCTTGTGACAGGCTCTCGTGCTGCCAAAGAAATCCGACGTACAGACCACCGAGCACTGTTTCCTGACTCACTGAGACAGGTTGTTAATTAGTCCTCGAGAGGTCAGAATAGAGGGAATGAGTCCCTTGGAAACAAAACTAGGTACATGCTTAGCGTCTGGGCAGCGGGAATCCTGAGAACAAACTCTGGAAGCTCCCTTCTGTTGGAGAGGCACTGAATTAATTGCCCTGATGAAACAGAAGGAGCAGGGACCTGGATTTGCTTGGATACAAGCGACATCTAGAAGATGTAGAAGAACCTCCCACACAGTTCTGAGTAGTTTAGACTTGAGGAAACTGAGGCACAAAAAGCCTAAGTGACCTGTCAAATATGGCACGGCCAATCACAAAAAAAGCTACGGAACAAATGCAGGGCTTTGCGCTCCCGCTCCGACTCGAACCGGGCAGTCTCTCCTGCCTTGCAGCAGCAGCACAGGGAATGTGCTCACCTGTGTAAAACATTCCAACATTTACAATGCTTACTATTTGTAGTATCCTGATTCTAGATTTATAAAATATGTAACCACTGAGATTTCAAAAAGCAGAATTTGTCATGGTGAGGAGGCAAAAGGGAAAAAGGGGAGGAAAGAAACTAATTTGTGGAAAAAAGTCACTCTGACAGCTCTGTCAATACCTCTGTGGTTCTGTACCAGCAAGGAACGAGCAAAAATGAGAGAGATGAACTTTCAAACCACAGCTGTCATTCTGGGAAGCAGTATCACCTGAAACCAGCCTCTATTTTGAGCAGTTTCATGCTTCTATCAAACCTTGTAAGGTTAGGCATTCCTAAGAGCAAACAAGTGAAATAGACTCTGTCATTTAAAGCACACTTAGGGAAATAATACTCGAATTTTCCAGCCACACAAAACCATCCATTTAGAATGGGCTGGAAGTGCATCCTGACAAACATGCATACCTCATTTCTGACAGCCAAAGACTCAGCTATCCACGAAGCTTGTCGTTCTAGCCAATACATCACTGTGGCTCCTATACTATATGCCCAGGCTGATAGATTTATCTTTGCTACTTACCTTCTGACACTAAATAATAGCATTAAACGGCTGTTATGTCCAGGATATACAGCCAGGGTAAAGGGAGAAAAGACTCAATTGCTTAACACACTACAGACATTTCCAAAGTGAAAAAACCTGGATGCTGAACCTCCTTGGTTTCTCATACCGAGCACACAGAAAAGATGTCCTTCAAAGTACAGCAAGATAGAACACTGGGATATTAAACTAAAAGATGCTAACCTGCAGTAGGCCACTTCATGGAGCCTGTCCTCTGCATCTATTCTTCATATAACTCGGAGCTTGCAACTGCCTCTTTTAATGCCATTATAATACAGAAGAGAAACATTCAACTTCCTGCCTACAATGTTCATTACTTGGAAGCCAGGTCAACAGTTCAGGCCCCTCCTTGGCGACTGCTAAATGGACATCATTATTTCTTCATGCGGCAGCAAAAGATTTTGCTCTCCAAATCAGTCATGGGATTTATCCCAACCAGAACTGCAAACAGCAAGTTCTTCAGCTTTTCTCAGGAGCACCATCCGTTTCTCAGATCACAAGAAGCTACGCCTTGGAGGTTTTTATAACTGTGACCCATATACTTCCCGACTTTGGTTTCCCAAGCCACAGTTTCCAGTGCTGTTAACAGCAAGTGTCACACAGGGCTGACACGCGCAAGATAACGCGCCTTCTCCCTGACCAAGGAGGGAACGACAAAAGCAGTCTAGATCACGTTGCACTTGGTAAAGCCAAGAACAAAAGATTCCTTCCTGCTCAACTCCTACCACTACCATGACTCTCTAGTCCAACTGTTGGTTTTTTTCAATTTTATGAGAACCATGATTACCCAAACCCCTTAAAAAAGTGACCGTCAACTCTCTCACAAAACAATCCAGGAAAAGGAAGTCTTACTGTCTGGAAAAGAGTGATCGTAGTCTTCATAGATGTTGAAACTCTATGGCTAAACCATTTCTACTGACTGCTCTTGTCTTCCTCCCTTTTTTCACCAGTTTGACGTGTAGGACTTTGCTACCCAGCCGTGATATTTTAATGTGTATTTGTCCCATGGAAACAGATACGTATACATGTTAAATTCAAGCAATTTACAGTACTTTGCATGCAATTTAACAGAATTGCAGGGAAGAACTACTGCAACTATCAGGCCAATATCCATTGACTCGATCCATTAAAGCTTATCAAATATCAAAAGCCGTGTCAACTGCTGAGTTGCATTCCATGTACCTTCACTGCTTGGTGCTCCTCACACAGGAGGTTTATTATAAAGCAGAGTTAAATGTGCCCAGCAGGCTAAGCTCTCTCTTCTTGCATGACAAGCAGAAGTTCAGTTCCCCAGTGGCAGCACAAAGGGGGAAGATTACAGAACTCTGTAAGGGGAGGGACCTTAGATCTGGTGGGATGGAATCCCTCATGTTTCCTCCAGGAGGCATCATATTTTGAAAACAGCAAGCAGATGTTCATGGAGTTTCCAGGCCTTTAACAGCAGCTTTGTTCATACTGTAAGTTGACTGACCCTAAACACAATTACGTGTTGACTTACCCTGCCAGCTGCAATCTGCTTCATTTACTTCAGTTTTACAGGAAGAGGCAGCATCGTTCCTCTTCTCATTATCAATAGGGGTTCTGCGCTCATTCCTCTCCATAGTTTCCACTTCCACATCCTGTTTCATGTCCCATTTGTCACTTTGTTTATCAGAGCTCTTCCCATCTTGTTCAGCTGTACTATCCGGTAGTCCTTCAAATAAAAATTAGTATCATTAGTCTCCAATACTGTTGCTTTTTTTATGCAAGTCATAAAGCTCAACTAGCCAAAACCAAGCCCTAAAAAACTCAATACAAAAATTTACTTTGACATAGGTGTTATCATTAAACACTCACGAATCATAATACTCCAGATATCAAAGCACTTGGGCAATGTAACTTGCTCTGAAGTGATGTTACGTTTCTGAGAGCTTCTGCTTTAAAGATAAACTTTTATATGTAACTAAACATACCTCTCTTTTTAGGGTACTAGAACGCAAGTCTGAAGTATTCCCAGAAAAATCTAGCAGAATTATTCAGATTTACTTTCATTTTTCTGACAGCAAATTCATCCCTCAGACTTTGGAAATATCTACAGAGTATTCAACGTGCAGATTTGAAAGGACCTCCCTGTTTTAGGAAGCCAAGAATGCCTTTATTAACTCAATCTTTTCCTGTGACTTTTGTGTTATTTCTCTGGGCTACTGTGTAGTACCAGACTGTGGTAACAAAGGAGGAGACTTTTCTTTGGCCCTTGGGTCACCTGTAATCAGCATGTTCGAGCAAGCAAAAGGGCTGTAACTCGAAACGTACACTAAACACAGAGGCACACGGAGGGGGTTTGGTGATGGCTTCTCAGGAATCAGCAGTAAAAAGGAACACGCACACAGCTTCTACGGTAGACTTGAAAAGAACTAAAGAGAAGCAGGGCAGTGTAATCTGCACAAAACCCTCTGCTGTCAGAAGTTCTATAAAAGAGATTGATTCCAGGGAAAAATAATTTAAAAAAAGCCCTCCTCAGCAGGCTTAGCTAGATCTGCATGACAGCTCAGCTGGCACTGCAGAAGAAAATAAGGATGATCAAGATCAATTCAACTGTTGAAGAATGACTTTTTTTACTGTTACCATGCTTCATTCCAGCATTGGACTTTGTTGTGCCAGGGTGGAAATGCATCCCTCCAAAAGTAGAGTATCCATACGAAGGGTAACTGAACCCTAAAGAAAGGGAAAAGATTAGGAATTAATAGAATTATACCTTAAAGCAATGAGAACACCATCTGGAAGATGAACCTAAAGAACTGTAATCTTGTTTTCTATATACCTTCTGCTTTATTCCATCCAATTAAAATTCATTTTCCAGACTGAAGGTGAACTCTTCCCCCCTCCCTTCAAAAATCCAAAGAAATTCTAGATGGTTGGCTAGTGACACTCTCCATCCCAACACCCACAAGACCACACAGAAGTAGTGCCACTAGTATGCTTCAGCTGAGACTTCATCAGCTACCTCTGTGCTGTCAGATGTTTGGGACTGCAACAGATTTATGTTCTGGTGTGGTGTTGCAGATGTGCCGCTAGCGATGCATGTAGCAATTTGAAAACTGCTTTTCTGTCCCCTGCTCTAAAGAAAACGTTGCAAAGGTATTGTGGTTCAGGTGACATTTGCAAGTTTACAGGTTTTTAACGGTCTGCTGCAAGAATCAAAGCCATGTTCTTATGATCCCACATCTCAGCTATGCTCTGGCTTCAAGAGATAGAGCACAGTAGAAAATGTATTAAATAGTATCTCAAATTTAAGAGTTCTTTGCACTAATGGGGTTCATTCGCCAAATTCCACCCCTGGTCCCAGAAATAATTAAGAACTTGTTTAAGCACCCAAGACAGCTGAGCTGTCTCATGAACTACCGTGCCCTCCAGGCCCTAGGAAGCAACAAAGCTAAGGTATGATGGATCCCAGAGTCAGACTCCCTCAACTAGAAAGGTGTTATCTGTGACTAAAAGCTTCAAGGAAGAGGAAAAAAGGAAGGCAAAGGAGCTGATGAAATATTTAGAAAACAAGGAAATGCTTAACTGAAATGAGCAACACTGGTACAAAGACAGGAGAGTCAGGCCTTATCTACCTAGAAGACACCAAAATCCTCATTACATTTAAAAAATGAGGATAAACACCTGCTCTGCTTTCAAAGTAGAACCCCTTCCCCTCTTTGCCCAAAACTGCTGCCTTACCAGAGCCAGCACCGCCACTTCCCCCTCCATACATGCCACCGCCTCCTGCGCCACTGCCTCCACCATAGCCATCAGAGAAGTTTGGCATGAGCTTCTGTCGTTTCCTTTGCACTTCTTCTTTATCTGGGTTAGAAGGAATACACGGGATACGGAGTCACTTGTACTGGTGGCCATGCCAAGAAGAGGGTGTGCATACAGAGAGCACGACTGGAGTTTACTACTTTATGAAGGAAAGTGCTGAATGCTGTAGAAGAGTCAACTCGCTTCTAGTTCCAAGTAACAAAACAAATTTGTACGTAACGGAGCAGTGAGAATCCCTGGGAGACACAAGCTAAGGCCAAGTCCACAGCCAGGCACATCAGCATCGCTCAGGCCCGTGTGGTGACATCAGGCGCCTTGCGCTCCGGCTGGGAGGGTGTGCTGGTTTTAGTTGGGACAGTTAATTTTCTTCACAGCAGCTGTATGGGGCTGTGCTCTGGATTTGTGCTGAGAAGAGTATTAATAACACTGACGTTTTCAGTTGTTGCTAAGAAGTGTTTGTGCCCAGTCAAGGACTTTTTTCTGTTTCTGGTGCTGTGCCTGTATTCCCAGCTTCTTCTCTACAAGAAGCTGGCAGGGGACACAGCCAGGACAGCTGACCCAAACTGACCAAAGGGACATTTCATTCAATAAAACGTCATGCTCAGCTCAGTATACAGGATGGGGGTTGGGCCAGGGGTGGTGCGTGCTCTGTCTTGCCTCCTCCCTCCCCCACTCCCCCCTCCCCATCCCTTTGGCTCTTTGTCAGCCAGCAGGTGGTGAGCAATTGTATCATGTTTTCTTTTCCATTATTTTCATTACATATTACTGGTATCTTTATTTTATTTCATTTACTTTCAATTAGTAAATTGTTCTTATCTTAACCCATGAGTTTTCTCATCTTTTCCTCCGATTCTCCTCCTCCACCGGAGGAAGGGGAAAGTGAGTGAGCAGCTGGGTGGTACTCAGTTGCTGGCGGGGATTAAACGATGACAGAGAATTGTGCAGAGGTGTCTTAGGGGGCTCAGAGTTCCTTCAAAAGTGTCCCATGTATTTAAAATCCTGGAAATCATTGGTCCCAAAGTTCTTCTATGCCTAAGCCAAGTCATAAACCAGCACAATTGCCCTGAACCACAAACTTGTTCAAGAAAATTTGCCTTTGGAGAATATAAGCACAGGCTCTTCTACTACGGAAATCTACTTCAGAAATGGACCTTTATCAAAGGGCCAGCAATCCACAAGGCACTTGGATTTCCAACAGTGCAGAGTACCTGCAGTGCCCTCTGGAATTTAGTTTAAGTGTAAGGATGACAAGAAATGGTGAAAACAACATTTGCTTGAAATGATTTACTTAAAATATCAGAAAAGCCACTGGAATAAAGATAGATTATCTTCAGGCAGGACATAATACTGTCAAACAAACCACGCTGAGCAGCAGTAGAAAAAGAAGCCTAAATATTTTATAATGTAAGTACAAAATAACACTTATCTCCCCTGAAAAGCAAAACAAAGATTTAAAAGAAATACCCCAGTTGGCTGTGGTAAGTGAAAATGTCACAACAAGAGCTATAAAAATAGGGATACAAACCCCTGTAATGTTTGTCTCCCTATTTACAGGGGTTAAAATCCAGTAGAACTGTTGTGGAAAGAACAAAATGTCCTTTGTTCATGAAATGATCTAGTACTCTGCAAGAGCCACAGGACAAAAGAAATTTAAAGTGCAGGCACAACAGTTGATGCATCTAAAGAGATAGCTGAAGACATGAAACAGTACCAGTGAATTATTTCCAGGCATACACGATCTGTAAGTACGTACGCATGCACACACCAGGCATACCCACACTGACGAAGAGAGCGAGCTCTAGAGAGCAACCTAGTCAGAAAAACAAACCAACAATCCATGTACACGTGTCTAAGTTTGTGTGAACACTTGCAACAAGGGAAAAAAACCAGCTCCTAAATGGTAATTTCATCCTTATGTTGTGTAGGGGGTCTGAAAACGTGTGTAACAATGTTGAATTAATTGTACTCCGTTAAGAGGCACATAAAAGTGGGTTGCTTCAAATCTGGCAACTTTGCTCTGCAGTTGTACACTTCACTTGCCATAAAACTTCTGCAAGAGATTCCCGAAATCATGACCAGTACAACAGCCACTACCAACTCCAGAAGTTTTTGTGAATGCATGCTTCCTGCTATTTTATAACAACAGGTGTGAAGTAGGTTCACTTGGACATCAGCCACCACCCCTCTCTCCTCAGGTGTCCTTAGTCTGTTACCGCTGATGCACACATATTGCCGAGATTTTGACGGTGCTGATGTCAACACGGCTCTAGGTTAAGCACTGAAAACGTGCAAAATCAGGACTTTAGAGTGTAACCTGCAGGCAGATGAGCTGCAAAAGGAGAGAACTGCAAAATATGTACTTTTTCCACCAGTTACCAACCCGCCTTTGGTGTAAGGTTTCCTCTGAAAGTACTGACAGTAAAATGTCCTCAGATATTACTGTGTAGAAACTCAGAGAGAAAGAGTGCCATGTGATGTAAGGACAGGAATGTGTGCATATAGGAAACTTGCAGGGAAAATGCTCATGGATTTACTGCTTACCATTCCAACAAAAAACCCCTACAAACCCATTACCACTTTTCATGTAAGCTTTGCACAAAACAAGGCGGCAAATATCCTGTTTTCTAAACTTCACTTAAAAAAAGAAACCCTCATCCAAAAAGTCCAATCTTATTAAAAACATTCCTAAAGGACTCTGCAGTTTCTGTTTCCAATGACATAAACCAGCTTTAATAAATTACCTTTGATTTCCGGATAGTAGAGAAAAGGCTTTGGTTCACTTGTTTCCAGATCAGATTTCCGACGCAGTTGTACAAATACAGATGCTGGCTTTGTGATATTGACATCTCGATACTTGGGTGTTTTGAACACAATCGCAAACTGGGAAGGAAACAATGACAAACACATCTGTCACAGAGCATGGGTTTTGACAACTTTGCTTTCACACTGGTGTTATTTTGTTGGAACCGGTTCATGGCTTGGGAGGCAAGAATTCTTAGCAAAAGGCTGCTACAACAATGAATTTACATTTCAGTTTTCAGTTGCACATTTGAGCTCAAGTCCTAAAGCCTTTTGGGAAAGGCAGAACTGCCATGCCATCACATGACGTGGGTTAGTACTGGACTGTTTATCCCCTCATCATTTAACATCGATCCTGTGGCTTGCTCAGTGTATTCGCTGGAGCTCTGAGAGCTTTTTAGAAATCCTATCCCAGTTTACACTGGTGGTGCATGTCAACGCAATGGGTCTATCTCCCAGTGTCCTTGCACTGTATTCCTAACCTGCCCAGTTACCTAATGTACATCTTCTCAGGCGAACAGTTAAGATTTTACTATTACTAGGAAATAACCAACGAAAGAAAAAGGTTAGTATGGGATACAGATGCTTTCACCTAATTTACTAATTATAATATAATCCTAGTTTACAGAGATAAGAAAATTATTAACAAATGACAAATGCTCTGTTACTTACCTGTCTATGTACATCTGTAGGAGAAAAGTCTCCAAAGCCTTCCCACATACCACCGTTCTCATCCTCTTCGTAGAAACGTATTTGAATATCGTCTGCAAAGAGTGAAGGAGAGAGTCTTTGGTATGTTTGTGCCTTTGTTTAACCTTTGGCTAAGTTTATTTCAGATAAAAATCAACATGGTTACTTTTTGTCTGGATGCCAACACTACATGAATTATCTTTATCCATTTTATTAAAACATAATAAATAACCCATTTCTGACATCAAATTTAGATCAGCCTAAATCTAATGACTTCACTGAAGCTGCTCTCTATTTACTGAGCAGTAAAAGGAGAACTAGGTTCACTACCTCTTCCTATTCTAGGGTTATAAAACATTCCAGAGGAGCTTTATTTGGAACAAACATAAAGGGAGGGGAGAACTTGAAGCATGAAACATAGAAACCACCCTCTCTCCTCCAACAGTTTCAGTTCAAAAAACTGTAGCAAAACCTGAAGTGCCACAGTTGAAGTTCCGCTTGCTGCTGGCAGAGTGCCACCACAGAGCTGCGGCTCCGACCGACGGCAGGGGTACGAGCGAGTGGCATGTCAGCACTGAACACTCATCCCCAAACACAGCATGGGCCAAAACCATGTGATTTGGCTTCTGGTCCTCTAAACAAATTTTCTTTCATTCTCTTTGTGTTTATTTATTTATAATTTCACGAGAAGCTGGGAAATAATCACACTACCGTATTCCCTTCCCCAGCACTCCTGGTGAAGAAAAACTAGAAAAATCCTGTTCTCTTAAGGTAACTGATGTAGGACAGGCTTTTGGAGCAGACAGACTGCTTCCTCTGCCCCACCACCTGCTAGTCTCAAGACTCTGAACCACCACTTCCAGTCCTGCTGTCCTGCATGCTCAAGTTTCTTCAGGCAGGTTTCCCAGAGCTATGAGGTCAGGGGAAACCCCAACCCGGCTGAGGGGAAACCCCACCTCAGGGCTTCCACTGAGTCAGACAGCTATTTATTTATTTATTTATTTCATGCACAGGAGTTACCCTTCTGACAGCAGAAGGTATATACACTACTGAAGGAAAACAGTTTTTTCAGAGCCCCTAAAAGCCCCCTCTCTTTCCTAAGTGGTAGAAGCACATTTGCGAGAAAGAGGCGGAAAAGGACAGCCTGCATTAACAGGAAACGTCAGTGTGATTTTAACAACACGTGCAGGGACCTATTCCAACCAGGCGAGAAGGCGGCACCCACTCCCCCGTGCAACCTACACCTGGGAGCCCCAGGTAGTACCTATAGCTGAAAAATGCTAAGGATTTCCTCACTCCCCCCACCCCCTTTTTTTTTTTTTCTTATTTCAGCCCAAGCACTACAACCAACCACATTCACCATCATCTTCCTATCCAAATCCACACTGCCCAGTCCTGACACATTCAGAGCCATGAGCAGAGACTACAAAAATGAGCCTGTGAGAAGTATCTCTTTACAACAAGTAAACTTGACCATCAGCACATCCATAAAACAGATGTTCAGTAGCAGCAGTGCTGAACACACTCAGTTCCCATCGGTGGTTACTAAAGAGTAAGTATGAGCATTCGCTATTGTCAGAAACTTAATAATAACTCAGAAATTTCAGAGTAATTCAGAGCAGGTGTTAGTTAACAGAGTCAAACATCACCCAGGACCCACTGCCCACAAAATACCCAGAACATGGGCAAGGGCAGAAATTTGAGAAGAACAAAGATGAACATACAGACGCTGTGGAGGCAACACAAGCTGAATTTGCTTTGCAACAGCCTATTTTGATTTATTTGTTTTCTGGACTGCTGGCCTGACTTCCAGAAAGGCCAAGTGCTTACAAATGCTGCTGCACTGTCAGAGTGGGAGAACAGTAAGGCAGCACAGCAGGCTTCACGTGTACTCCAGATAAACACCCTGGCGTGCCTCACAAGAGGCTCTTACCTTTCTGAACCTTGTCACAGAGAAGGTAAATCTCTTCCCCTCCTGTTACGCACCCTGCTGTTCTGTCCATTCTTACGATTTTTAGGTTGGAGGCGTTGGGGGCTTCTATTGAAAGGAAAGATTAAGAAAAGGCTTACCTTCATAACAGTCTTAGCTTTCAAAAAAACCCGAGCACAACACAGAAATGTGACAGAAAGACAAGCCTCCAGTTCAACCTCCCTAAATTTGTCTTTTTTTTTTTTTTTAAAACATGAATAAATCAACAGTTTTTCATCTGAAAGGCATAATCTTGTATCCTCTATGCTTTGAGCTCTGTACTATAAAATAAGGCCCTGGCCATTCCAGCACAATTATTGCAGTAGTGAAGTAGCCCAGCAGTGAGTTGCATCCAGCACTCTGCACTAGTACTAGCTCTATGAGAAGAGCCCTTTACAAAAGAACATAATTTTTTCTTCCCTGCTTTCTTGACAGTGTGACACTCTTCAGAGCTGTGCCCTGTATCTCACTATTGGAATTCAATATGCAATATTTTGCTTTACACCATGGCTTACTTGGAAGCACTGTCAGTCCTTGGCCAACATACTGGACTGTGATGAAAAGGGTCACCTCCACAGAACTTAGTAGAGGCATCAATGGCTATCTATTGGGAACTATCATCTGGCAAGTCAAAGCAGCTGTGATAGGCTGCCACAAGTTGTGTCTGCTCTGTGGAAGAAGCCTGGATGGTGCCAATGAAGTGTATTAGAAAAAAAACGGAGAAAAATCTTTTGGAACTAACAACCAAGAATTCACCTTGGAAGCTCAGACACTAATAACTGACATCTACATAGCAACTTAAAACAGCAGAAATGTGCATACAGAATTTCCCCTCATCTCCTTAGTTGGAGTCAAAATTTTGATGGTCATATTCAGAAGGATAGGACAACTTCAATTGTTTTTATATGAATGGCTTGATACACGCTTTGATCTCCTTCTCTTTGCTTTACAAATACTTGCTATCATTATATAGGTGTGAGATACACTAATGAGAACAAGTGGCATCTGTAATAGTTTCTAATGAAAATCAAGATTCCTTAAAGACACTGCTTGGTAAATCACCCCAGCCTGCAGACAAAAATATTGTGTTTTCTCATCCAGAAAATGCATGTCATAAGAACAGCAAGACATCACGTGTTCCAGTCAGTGAATATATGAAAAATGTCTGTGCTACATCCCTACATTCCCCAAGTAACAGCAAGCAACAGACTACATTAGAAAAGTTGCATTTAATACCTTTTAATCCAGACTTTGACCTTAAAAAGTGATGACATAGACGTGACTCTTGCACAGATCAAAAAATGGTACTCTTTCTAAATCATTACAGAATGACTGCTGGAACATACTAATCCCCAGCTACAGGGAGAGAAAACTCAGGCAGGAGAAAGGGTTCAGGTAAGGTAAATACAATCAAAAAGCATGAAGGAGTGTGAAGCGAAAAGATTCACTTAGAAAAAAGATGAAGGGATGTAACAGAAGTATAAAAATACTGACTGGTCTAAAAGAAATGGATTGAGAGCTCTGGATGTGTTAGTCTCACAAAACAAGGACAAATGTCCAGTAAAACTGAAAGGTGTCAAATTCTCAACAGGATTGAAGCAAAGTAATTTTTATGACAAAGCTTTGTCATAGAAAGCAATGGAAAATTGCAAACTTTGAACACTTCTTATGAATATAGCAAGAATGTACAAAATCATTATGATAAAAGTGGTGGGGTTAAACATGCTAACAGCAAAGTAAAATCTTCCTTTACGGCTTACATCCCCATGTACTAAAAACCAAAACGAAACCCTGTGTATTTGGATAGACATGGGGCAGTTATTAATGAGCCTCCGTTATTGATCAAATAACAGGTAAGCAGCAGGGCTAGACGTGTCCCCATACAGCAATATCTACACATCATATTTCTGTGTACAAAAGCTCGCCCCTCATTAAAAAAGTAATTAAAGCCAAATATACTTACTGCTGTCATATATTGCATCTGATATAACAGGATCAAGTTTCCGTGTGAAACTACCATTACTGTCAGGGAGAAAGGCTGTAAACATAAGACGCACCACACTGAGATCCATTTCCTTAGTCTGCTGTACTGCTGCCTGACGAATAATTTCTCTCTCTCGCTCTGGAACCGGTAAGTAGACAGATGAATTAACACAAGGGGCAGGGGACTCTTAACAAAACAGGGAGAGCATTTTCCAAACATTACTATCCAAAGGCACCAACAGCAAGGAAATGTTTTCGTTTGGTGTCCATCGGCTTCTCTCTTTTTAAGCAGAGAGGTGCAGCTATTCACAATACATTGCATTCATCTTGCACTTTGTGCAACAGGTGTTATTCAAGGTAAGGTATATAATTAAGAGACATACAGAAAATGACTATTTCTTGCTTTCAGCTTATAAAAGTTGCAAAAAGGACAAAGGCTGCCACTAAGGACATCTGAATGACTCTATACAGTTCCTGAAAGCAATGCAGACCACAGGTTTTACACAGATATGGGTGAAATGCAATACAGGGATATGGGTGAAATGCAAGTGAATTAAACAGGTGTTCTCAAAAGAAGGTCCCCAAGTTACTTAAGGATATCATGTCTTGCAGCAATAATGCAGAATGACTCTATCTATCAGCTTATTAAACAGGGTAGGAGCAATGAAATACAGCTGCAGAGGTGGGTACAGGCAGCCATGGAAGGAAGTCGCTCCATTCTCATGTGCGTGTTGACAGCAAAGACACTTTTTTTCAGATTCCTTAAAACACAACAACACACCACCTCTTAAAGCACTTAGCCACAGGCTGTCTTCCTACCCATTTTTAGTAAAAGACCTATTAAAACCAGGCCATCAAGTCTACATACCAGTTAACTGCCTCTCTCCACATCCTTCTGCCTGCAGATAGCTAAGTTCAGGATGTACCAGGAGTCCTGGGTTGTATCCCTTTTTGCAAGCATCTATCATCCGTGTTTCCAGAGTTTCAAACACTTTCTTCTTTGTGACATGAAGTATTCCAAGATTGGCAAACCTGTCGAATTTTGACAGAGGTAAATACTTTCTTAAGGCTTTAGGCCAAACCTGCAGCAGGCAGTCTCTCTCCTACCCGAGGCAGCTACACAACTGAAGTCAATGGAAGGACTCTACAGGCTTACTTAGGCACCAGCAATTCTTGAGAGTAATTTTCCAGCAAGAAAAATTGAGCCAAGCTTACAAAACACGCAAAACATGAACCATTACACGGCGGCAATTGTACGGGTGCACGGGATTTTCCCCATGGCATAAGTAGTAATCTGTTAGCTTTCAGGCTTACGATATGGAAGTGGCTTACAAAACATTTGAAAACCTAGTTGTCACACTTAAGTTTGCTTTGTCTTGGCAATGACATTAACATGTCATTCTATATGGCTGTTATGCAGAGCAGCTACTCAGAATAAGCTCCATTCATGCAAAATGATTTGGAGAGCAAGCTAAGAAGCTAAAAACAGTGAAACATTTTCCAAAGGGAATGTTTTAAGCAAGGCTCTGGAAATTCAGCAAGACACTTTAGATATCTGTTTGAATGAAAACATCCATAATGCGAGATCTTCCTTTGTAAAATTCTCCTGGCACATTTAAAAATCAATTAGGTCTGGAAGTATGAAAACAAGACAATAACTCAATTTTCATGTGGGTCAATTGAGGATAGGAAAGCTGTTTCTAAACATCTGATGAAAAACAAGACAGGTTAGGAAATGAGCCAAACTTTTCAAGATGAAAAGGAGCATTTTAAATAAAGTTATTTAAATTGTTGTGCTCTGTAAAGTTAGTGCACTGGGCTTGGACATCAAAAGTTACAGTTTAAAAGAGTCCCGCTCCCAACCTTCTCAGCTTTTTAAACTTCATCTTCTTCACCAACAAAGACATTCTTGAGATCACAGAATGAAAATTCACAGCCAGCATGAAACCTGATCTAAGCCTGAAAAGGTAGACAGAAGCCTCAGCTCCATTTACTGATATAAACAATTATTCCTTTAAATTAAACAAGAACAGACCACGTACAATTTCATTATACTCTTACTACTTTAAACTTTAGAAGTTTGACTCATTTAGTATTTTCATGTTTGTATATGTCTTGCATTAATTTCAAATTTACTAACCCTATTTTCTTAACACTTTTCTCGTCACTACTTCCTATTGCCAGATTTTTGCAAACGTAAAATACTGATAAAAACTGTAATAAAAGCTTTTCTTCAGTAATTTTACAGTCCCATTGCTTTGATCGAAACTACTTACATTTTAAAGAACGTGCTTACAAGACAAATTTAGACTGCACACCAAGAGATTGAAACTCTACAAATCCTAAGGGAAAATTATGTGCTTAAACCTATTTAGCTTGCTTAGGGCAAATTCCACAAAGGTAAGCAGAAACGCCATTTATTTTTCTATTTCAGATACAAACAAAACACAGATCAGAGTATGAAGTCTAGTGCTCTACTTAGCTGCCTCTTAGTAGTATTTTTGTATTGCTTCTTACACTGTTTATCCTTGATTCTCACTCCCTTAGGCCAGTTTTGCAAATGAGTTGACAGACTTACCCTACAACCATATCTTTAGGTCCTGCATTAACCGTGCATACTCCGTCTTCACAAAATTTACCCACCAAGCTGTGAGCATGTAAGTGGACGTATTTCCCATTAGTAACTAACTGGACGATTACTTTTGCAGGTCCAACATAATTGCAGATCTGTAAATAAATATAAAAAAATATGGGGTGGGGTTTTTCTGTGTGTGGGTTTTTTTTTTAAATGGAACAAACTGAGTTTCAGTTGAGTATTTTCTGTCAGCCAAGTATATCCAAACTTACATGGGAGACATGTCTATGAAATTTCTCATGGAATACAAATGACTAACTGTACCAGCTCAGTACAAAGAAAAGCCAACACTATTTTGTAATTAAACTTGACATACAGATGGCAGTCATGACCAAAAAAGTTAAGAAATAAAGCAAAGGTAAAGGAAAGCAACCTTCTGTTTCCCAGATCATTAATCTCAGTTTTACATTGTCACCAGTTACTCCACATTGCTCTCCTGAAGTTTCAATGAGTACACTGAATTCACAGTAAACATTGTTACCTGTTAAGCAGCATACAGAAAAATGTATGTATTTAACAAAACCCCCTGTATTATTTTGCCCAATTTGAAAATATTTGAATTATTTTTAAATATTATGATTGTTTTAAAACAACATTTTAGTCTCATTATAATGACTCTTCAGGTAGAGATTTTAAAGTCAATTAATTCTATATTTGTAGGCATTTTGTTACTTCAATATGTTACATCAGCATACATTACCCAGTCCAGTAAATATTTCCCTGAGGTTACCAGTACATGGTACAGGATATGGTACATGAGGATATATGCTAAATCCTCACCCAAGATTTTGCAAGACTAGAGTGATGATAAACTAGGTGCCTCAGTAGAGCCAACTCTGGAGGACTACAAAGACTTTTTTTTTCCCCCTGTTATAGTTTCTAATCACTATAGGTTTTTTAACAGCTTTTATAATTGTGATGTCAGGTAATTTCCCCAAAACCAAACCTGAAACTACTAATAACATACCAGATTGATAAATTATTTGCTTTACTTATATGATTTAGAACTTTATTTTCTTTCCTCACTAGTAATATTCTTCAAATCAGTTGTCAATTATGCACCGCTTTCCAATTATGCTGAATATAAAATTACTCCATTTTTAAAAGAGCAAACATTAGCTCCTTTTCCAATTCACTTAATTAACCCTTTTATCAATGTTGGGTATTTTTCCCCTCCTCCTCTAACTTTTCTTCTAATTTACCTTGGGCAAAGTTCTTTGTATTGCAGCAGCTTATAGATCTAATCAACCAAGGTATTAAAGGATCACGATAAACATTAAAGTGATGAATCAGTGATGAACTGAATACTTAAGGTTATATTGTTGATAAAATACTGATAAGCAGGGATTGCCACGATTCCACCACATGACTGAGACCTGCTAGCTTCCTTCACTCCAGTTAACCCCTCTCTTGCACCCACCCATTCCATCACAGCTGAAACACTCGGCATATGCACAATGCACGCTTTCCTTTCTATTCACTGCTAAAAGCAAAGAAAAAAAAATCCCAACTATGAGAAAGCTGTTCCTGGAGGAACAGGTGTGCAAGTCCTCTCATTACTCACTGCAGCTAGGTAACTCCATAATACTCTAGTAACGTGCATTCTACAAGCGCTAGTTGCTAAAACACAACAATGGGATACTCAATGCTTCCTCCTCTTTCCAAGTTGTAATCTCTACTGGATTCAAACAGCACAAAGATGCAGAATGATCATTGCTTCACCGTTTATCAGCAGTAGAAAATGCAGGGGTCCCTACATAACTTTCACAAAGTCATCTGAAATTAAAAACTTGTTTGGTTCTACATGTCACCACCACCACTGCTACAATTAACTTTTCGAGAGGAGGGCTTTTGAAAAATTATTTTCACTTTATTCCTCACTAAACAAGCCTTTCCCTTCTATAAAGTTCCCAGCACATCTATATTGGTATATTCATGATGAGTAACAGGCATGTTCTAGTATCACATCAGAAAAGTTCAAGTTCATCAGCTGTAGAAACCACAGTGAAACTGTAGGTAGGACTGCTGCACGTCAAGGACTTTCCAGCCTCTGAAAGCAGAACATATAACTGCAGCGGTAACCAGATTGCAATCTCCCCATGTTACTCAGCTCACCATGATCTTTGTAGTCTCTCTCAGGGGAAAAACAAAGGACTTCTTAAAAAGTAATACCTTATGTAGGTCATAAGGCAAGAAAGGACTAGTTTTGTCATCCAGTCTGACGTCTTATGCCGCAAAGGCTACAGAATGTCCCTGAACTGCTTCCTAACTGCATTTCTTACAGACAGACTTTCCTGCTTGGTTTTGAGACATCCAGGTTATCTTGGTGCCCAGCAAAGTAGCCTTAATGGTTATATATACTTAAGTACCATAAGTTAACTCTGAAATAATCTTTCAGTGTCTTTGAGTCAGTGATGCCACAATTTCAGAGTAACTTAGAATTTATTCTGTCACTAGGATATATAAATAACTATCACCTTCTATGGAAAAACTTAAAAAAAAAAAATCAAAGTCATTAAAAATAGACAGTATATTACCATGCTGAAAACCTATAGAAACCTAAGGATTATGGTGTTGACAGAAAAACACATACTCAACATTTGAGGGAGATAGCATGTGGGTGCTGGACTGCTCAAAATCAGAGCTGTGATCTGGAAAAAATAGGTACTGAACTTCCAATTAAAGATAGGGTGGAAAAAAGAAAATAAGGAGTTCCTGGGAAGAGCATAGCTGTAATACTTGATTACATGCTGTACTGAAGCAGCATTGAATTGATCTCATCTGATAAAGTTAAAATGCTGCCGGCTCACATCTATCTGCTGTTTCTGTTTGAGAGAGATTTGTCTGAGAGATTAAAAGGACCCTGTGAACTTGAAATCGAGTCAATTTCAAAACAAGAGTTGAAAGGTTTTTTTTTTTTTTTAGTTATTTCACATCCTCTTGCAATCCAGACCCCAGCCAATTTTTTTTCTAGTTTCTGAAATTTTACAAAAACTTTATAGGAATGTTTTCCTACTTGAAGTAGACGTTTTTTCCAGTTGCTCTTACAGGCAAGAAGTGAAACCAACTGGTCAGCGACAGAAAGCAAAATACCATGTCAAACCTACAAAGACAGCAACTACAAAAATAAGCATTTCTCTTTCGCCCCAACCTTGCCTAACATTCAGAGTGTGACCAGTGCTGTCCTCAACAGACACATACAAAAATGTTCCACAGGTGAGGCATCACTCTGTCTCTCTAAACAGTATGTTTTCACAGAGCAGCACCATTTTTTTTATCAGTTGGTAGTTTAAGGCAAAATATTTCAGATGTGGTAGGAATCATTTAGGCAACTGAATACTTACTTATAGGTCTAAGAATAAACAATGTAATTTAAACCGATGGGAGCTGAAGATCTTCTCATCTTCTAAATGTGTGGTCATTCTCATCCCAAAAATATAGTTAGGTGCTCCACTTTAGGAGCCCAACCAAAGGGGCTTGGTGGCCCATAGTCAGCCAAATTAACCATAACAGGAGAAAGCACAAATCTCACTGAATTTAGTTTTGGCTGAATTTGATTCAGTACAGGTTTTTAAGAAGGGTAAAGATTTGTAACAAAAAGTCTGCTCATTCCTGTCTCATGTTTATTCCTTATTTCAGCTGTTAAATGTATTTTTAACTTGAAATCAGTAAATTACTGCATTAAATTCTCAACAATTTAAGTCCTGGGAGGGGAGGGGGGGTGTTGCTGATGGGAGGGGAGCAAATATGCTGCTTCTTTCTTCACCAAGAAGGCTCATCAACAAAGTAATGACTAATTTTTCCATAAATTCCCCTCCTGAACTTGAAGTATATGCTGAAATCCCCAATTTCAGTCAGAACACTTATCTCCAAACTGAGCTGTAACTTAGGATAGCCCCAGGACATGGCTGGATGGGCAGTTCTGTTTGGTTGCCTGGGTTGAGGGCTGCCCAACTGGTATTCATCTTCGTTTCGCTGAACTGTACAATGTCCAAGCTCTTCTGCAGAGAAATGGTGTTCATTAGCTTGGGCACACCTCTGAACAATCGGTTACTCAGTCTCTGGGCTGGAGCTGATTTACATCCAGCTCACAGATAATAGGCAACTTGAGTTCACAGCCACCCACGTAGATTTGCCCCCAAGGAGATGAAAATTCAGGACATTTCCTTCACACCACCGTTTTCAGCAAATTGTTTTCATGAATATACCTCCACCACATCAGTATGCAAAAGACGAGCACACACATGGTAAAAGTATAAGGCCAGTGGAAATTTTCTGCCTAAGTTTTCTCAGTGTTTTTCAAATACATAAAAATCAAGCAAATTATGAATAAAAATTGTAGGTAGCTTCTTAAGATGGTGATAAGATTAGACAATCCAGTTTTATTCTTTCTTCTTATACTACTGATTGTTTTTTCCTCTGGACAAAAAGCTAACGATGAATAAGCAGCTCAGGAGCTTCGATTAGAACTGTTGTAGATAGTAACATTTTCCAGTGTTGTGTTACTTACACTAAGCAGATGAAGATGGTATTTAAATGAAGAATTTTAGGTACCTTTCTACTGTAATCATGAAACTCGCAATGAAATCTAACTTCACTGTAACATGTTCAGTGTCTAAAACTGCTCTGCTCTATGTAACTACGTGCAGAGCTATATGAAGTCCTTGAAAATGTAAGACGTTCTGTATACAGTATCAGGATTATTGTTAGCAAAGAATATAATTACATAAACCATAAAAATTAATTAATCAATCCCATTTTTTGACATTACAGAAAAATACTACTTTTATCTAGACTCCATCTGTCACTACTGTGCTGTTAAAACAAGAGGTTTTAAATCAATTTCCCCCTTACTGTCCAGTGTAGATTTGTCTTAAGTGTAACAACTGGCATTGCAGAACTGCTACACTAACTCCTGACCTACACCTTCTCCTACTATACTATACAGGAGGTGGTTAAACATGTAAGTAACTAGCAAAACATCCTGCTCAGAGACATAGAAAAGTCTTCAGCACTCCAGACTTTAAATACAAGATGTATCTTGATGTGTTCCAGCTCAGCTACAAGTTAGGGACTGGGTACAGGAAAATAAAGAGAAGAGTAGACTTGAACAGTCCACATTATGCATGAGGTCATATCAGAATATGTTTTCTTTCGGCTTTCAATCCATAATCCTACAAAAAGGGAGTAGGGAGACTGAAATGCTTTTTTATGCACTGAAGATGTCTATTATCAGGACATCCTGTGGTAGCTACTGGTAAATCACATCAGCTTTCTGTGCAGAGTTGGCCAAGCAGAAGAGAGAGCCCAATAAGAGCTGCACTGACCGCACCACAGTCAAGGTTTAAAGATTTGTCACAAAACCTCCTTTTTACAGTACAGCCAAAGCTCATGCTACTGTCCTTTCACAGCACTGTGATCACCTAATGGAGATTTTATGGCGAAAGCCTCAGCACACAAGTTAAAAAAAAGTAATCCCAAAATAAACAAAAAAACCCAACACAACAAGAAATCGCAATCTTCAATTGCGTTCACCTCAGTTACGACGAGGTGAGCACCATTTGACAAAACACAGAAGAGACTTACAGGAAAAGGTGTGAAACTTCTGTCTTTACTGGCACCACTTGAATCAAGAACAGGCACTAACAAGCAATGGCCTTGAGGAATTTAGTTGTTGTGTTCCCTTGCCAGCCTCTCCCAGCAGGTGTTGCCATGCGGGGATTTGTAGTAGAAACAACCCAGATGCACACAGTAGGACAACAGAGAGGTAGGGAGGGGTAGGAAGGTGGGGAGGGGGGTGGTGGTGTGTGAATCTCTCTCTCTGTAAGCTTTAAGTGAAGATCAATGGAAACAGAAAATTTGATGGAAAGCCAAAGAACATTTTGCTTTCTTTACTCATGGAGAAATTCCATTTCCCATGTAACTCCTCATTTCATATCTCCTTGTCGTGCTATTGTGGAACCCATCATGTCTTTATAAAGTATCAGTTGTATTGTTATCAATAGAGATTGTATTGGAATACAAAGATCTGGCTCAACTGAGGTAAATTATTTTATATCTCAACATACCAGTGAAACTTCATTTGTTGGTTCATTACCATCACAGCAGAAAAGGGAAAAGCAAGTACATCCTTTGCCTGGGCTAGTAATTTTTCATAGGATTTTTGCAAGGCTATATAAAATCAGCTTTCCCAGCCTCTTCTCGAAACAGAAGACTAACACCCTAGGCTATCTCAACCAATGCTGATTATTTTCCATTGAGTCATGCTCACACTGATTCATTATGGAGATGCAACTGTTCCAAACTCCAGCCCTTCTCAAGAACAGCCGAACCGCATGCATCCTGCGTAGAAAGCTGAGGAGTGGCACACATTAAGACAGAGGCTGACTGCTTGCCACAACCGTAAAGGAGTAAGAGATAACACCAAAATTAAAATACATTAAGAGATAACATCACAATTAAAATACATTAACCCTGCTCCTCATGAGACAATCTCTAGTGCAATAGTTCAAAGACTAAGACTTTCTAGTGCAATACCAAGACTAAGACTTTCATTACGTTAAAAATACTGAAAGGACAATGTATCTTTTCCACATTTCCATGGAAAAAGAATTTGCTGCAAGATGACAGTTCTTCTCTAATCCTAGAATGATTAATCACCACTGTTATAATCTTCATATTGTGATAGCACAGAATGTTTCTTTGATTAACATCACTGAATTTATTCCAGGGAAAAAAAAGCCCCAAAGAACATTCAGCAAACAATTGAACGTATTGCTGCTCCTATTAAAATGAGAAGTTTTCTGTTGACTTTAAAAGAATTAAGTCCTTAAGAACTGAGTCGCCTAGAGATATTGAAAAAGGAATAACATGATCAGAAAAAGAAGGAAAACTTGGTAAATAGCTTCTTCGAGTGAAGTGGAATAACTGACCAGACTCACGCCTTGCAGTATGCTAGAAGTGGAGTGACTGAGCGTAAAGCAAGGCGTGAACTGCTAAAACTGCACCTTAAGGAAGAGTTCCATTAATCTGCATGAGGGCAGTGACGTGGTAGGTGCTGGAATGCTTCCTGCTGGAAGATAAATACCATGCCAAAAATAACTCCACAAATCTGAAGACAACTCCCTTTTCAAAATCAATTACATTTTGAAAGTTGTTGAGATGCACTCAGTTGTGAGTAATTTCATCCAAATGTATGTTGCTATACAGTCAGGTCCTATACACATACACATGACACTTGCATTCAGTTTGCAAAGTCAATGATTTATGTACTTACTTTGACCTGAGGGTATGATTTTTTGTTCTTTTCACTAGAAGCGCCAGGAAGTCCACCATGTGAAGGTCCTTCGCATACGTATCGGAAACGAAACCCCCGCTGTGGAAATAAAGGAAAAGAAACTTGAAAGCTGTTTAGAAACAAAACTCAAAAAAAAAAAAGAAAAAGCACACACACACAAAACTTGCCCAAACAGCCCACAAACAGTAAAGTTACAACTCTTCATCCCTGAAATGCTGTCGGAGTGCTGGTTACAAAGCACCACTGAACTGCAGCCCTGGAGAAACCGTTCTATTCTCATTCTTACACACAGCAGCAACCCGACATTTTTCTTCAGCAAGTGAAGATATTTCGAAGCACAGATCTACTTACACTCTCTAAGCATGATAAAAATTAAAAGAGAGAGAATACAGGAGCAGACACTTTCTCCCATGATTGCGGCTAGGGAGGGAGAACTGAAGCCAGTAATGATCAAGGAAGTCCAAAGCATCAGAAAGAAAAGAACAGAAATGAAAGAGAAATGCTTCTTCCTTCTGGGAAGAGCATGTGAAAGACTTATCTTCAAGCAGAGCCCAGAAACAGCACAAAAGCTCCAGGAGACTTTGAATGGCTGGGTTTTCATCTCGGCTACATAAAAGATATCTGTTAGGGAACTGCAGGATCAGTAATGATCAAGGAAGTCCAAAGCATCAGAAAGAAAAGAACAGAAATGAAAGAGAAATGCTTCTTCCTTCTGGGAAGAGCATGTGAAAGACTTATCTTCAAGCAGAGCCCAGAAACAGCACAAAAGCTCCAGGAGACTTTGAATGGCTGGGTTTTCATCTCGGCTACATAAAAGATATCTGTTAGGGAACTGCAGGATGTTAGCAACCACTCTAGAGTACAGCTGTCCATTTATTCCATTTTTCATTACAGGAAATAACATCCCCTTTACTTTACAGGGTAATCTATAAGGCAGAAAAGATGCAACACTTAAGCAAATGTTTTTGTTAACCCTAACTCTACTTAACTATATTATTTCATGTGGCCCCCAACTTTTAATTCTTTCAGATCTACTCCCCAGTCCTGCCATTTCTGGCAAAACCTCCATCTGATGTAAGGCTCCCAGCATCTGTCCAAACAGCACCAGTTAGTGTTGTATTCTTCATCAAGAATCCTTCAGATTTTTCTAATAGTAGACAACTCTGAATTCAAAGTCTGTATTTGCTGACCGTGAACAACATGGTTCAAAAAATTACTCTGTAATCATTAGCTTCAATACTAAACTCATTAAAGCCTTTTCAGTGTAAGAACCTGGTTCCATGCAAAGGCAAAGATCCATCTTCTATTCAGATACTGACCAGACAACGTAATTCATCCTTAAGCACGTATTTACCTTCCTACAGCGAACTGAGTGACCAAGTGAATTGCAAGTTACGTGCCCAGCTACAATGAGCTTGATCTCAAGTTGTCCAAAAAGGCAAAGCAACCTCTGCAGTCATGACACATCAGACAATCCAAACCAGTCTCTCTTCACCTCTATGACTTCAATCGAAGATTGAAGATCCAGCAGTCATCTGTATGGCCTTCCCCAGCTCATTGCCCCTGCCATCCTAGCAATGTTTTCAGACAGTCTTACTTCCCCCAGCTGTCTCTTTCCTCCAAAAATAATCACAAGCACAGTACTGCTGATGGATCACCCTGTTATAAACCAGTGCCCAGCTTGCCACATGGGTACTCCACCACAGGACCTGCTTGCTGAGAACTCATGAACGGAAACAATGGTTTCTCCTTAGGTACTGCAAACTGTAGGTTCTACCATGTAAAGGCACAGCCTGATGCAGGATGAACTAAAGCAACATCGAAGAGGCAGCATATTCTTCCAAGAGTTCACGGTATGCTGCTGTTTCACCTGTAACCATGAAGTGTCATTCCTGGAGGGATGTTCCATCACAAAAATGTCTTTGGTGTGTGGCAGAAACGTGTTCTCTACTGCCTCCTGCTAGGAAGGCTGAATCACAGCATTGCTCCCGCAGAAGACCAAGAAAAGGATGGGACAACTTTTAGTCACCCTTTTCCCTGACTACCTAACAGCTCCATAAGCATTTTATGCAACTGACTGGGAGAGGTATGAAAGGGTTTTTCATGCTGCAATACCTTTAGGAGGAGTATTTGTAATTGCTGATGCCACCAGCTAAAGGGGAACAATACCCTGGGATATGTCAGGGCAATTGTCACCCAACAATTACTTTGTACATCAGTTACATGAAAACTAACCAGTGCACTGGGATGACTTTCATACTGTCAGAGGAACGTAAGTGAGTGTTTGCTACACAAAGTTACATTCAAGTATTTATCTTCATTTTTCTTGGGTGACTGAAAACAGCCAATTGTGACAAAAGGAATCTCAAAGGATAACAGAATTTCTTTATGACGACAAAGCACAAGTCAAAAATTCCTGTAACTTGGGAATAGAATGATTTCTTTTTTTCCTCTTTCACATGTTTTAGGAAACATAAAACAAATACTAATAATCTTGGTCTAATCATAGAATAGAACGGTTTGGGTGGGAAGGGATCTTAAAGACCATCTGGTTCCAACCCCCCTGCCATGGGGGGTTGCTTCCACTAGATCAGGTTGCTCAAAGCCTCATCCAGCCTGGCCTTGAACACTTCCAGGGATGGGGCATCCACAGCTTCTCTGGGCAACCTGTGCCAGTGCCTCACCACCCTCTCTGGGAAGAACTTTATCCTGATATCTAATCTAAACCTCCCCGCTTTCAGTTTAAACCTGTTACCCCTTGTCCTGTCACTACAGGCCCTTGTAAAAAGTCTTCTCTCAGCTTCCTTATCGGCCCCTTCAGGTACTGGAAGGCTGCAATAAGGTCTCCCTGGAGCCTTCTCTTCTCCAGGCTGAACAAGCCCAACTCTCTCAGCCTTTCATCATAGGAGAGGTGCTTCAACTATTTACATTTCAAAATATTTGGGTACTGTAAGAGTCACTTCTAAGATGAAGAGTCTATACTTAGCAGACATTTTTTAAAAAACCCTCAGGGTTTTATTCTGTCTTATGACACTTCCAGAGAGAAACAAAGATGAAAATAGAAGAAAACAGGAAATGATTTAACTACAAATGTGAGAGGAAAAACTGCTCAGGCTTAAGTGACACATTTCTTATGATTGTTTAACCTCTTCAATAATTTTTCTCATCTTAAGACACACTTTTATTCTAAGCTGAATATAATAACGTAAAGATTTTCACAATGTAGTGTTATTCTTACCTGCTTTGGCTGTTCTATGATTTGAAGATACGGTCCATCTGCTAACATAAAAGAAAGAAAAGTCATAGTAATAGAAACATAATTTACATTATGTCATATAAGTTGCAGGGGTAAAATTGATGTCCTTGAAGGTCTTGAGACATTTCTCAAGAGAGAATTCTCATTAAGAATGTCTTGAGAATTTTTGAAAGCACCTAAGCATCTTCAGAACTTAAATTTGAAATAAATTAATCACTTGTCAATCTGTCATTTCTAACATTCGCCTAAACCAGTGGAATAGGAAGCGAAAGATTAACTCAAGTTAATTTTAGCTCAGAGGGCCTAAATGAGCAACTCTGATCACTCAGTTAAGACTCACAATGGTGAGTAAGAACAGGATCCTCCCCCTGCCACTGTCAAGCAGCCTGGCCTTCCCCAGCTAAGGTTAACTTTTGTATTTAAAACCCTTGGGCTCCAAAGACTATACTCACAAGCTTTTGGCCTCAGGGCTTCCTACTGAATAGGTGCTTTTCAAAGTCTAGAGACAGAGCTTCCCATTGGCTGAGATATCAGAATACAGAAAGAATTTAAGTTGTCCCAACATGCCTTAACAGTCAGAACTGCTTAAAAAAACCCACCTTGAATTGAGGAGACTAAACAATTTACATTCTTTTAATAATTTCAGATACACTTTAAAATATATTGTTCTACTGTGCCTCTAAAAACACTCTTACTTGACTACAGATGTGGACTTTGCAAGATCCATCTTTGAGCACCATGCCAATGCATGGGATTATGTTCTATTAAAATTCTACTTGTGTCTTTCAAGTAAGGCTTCCTTAAACAGCTTTCAGTCTTACGCCAATTCCTGAACAGCAGCTAACTTCATACCATAAACCTCATTCAAAATTCACCAGTTTAAATAGCCTTTGAGCAGGCCCTAAATGCAGTGCCACCAGAGGTAAGAATTCATCACCTGATCAGAGCTTAGCTCCAGCTCTGATGGTTTAGATTATTTACAACAAGAAGGAAAGCTCTCCAGGCAGATGGCTGTGAAACACCTCTTAAAATGTAAGCCACTCCAAGTCTCAAAATGACAATTCCAAGAGGTATGATTTCTTCCCTGCTTCTTGCTAAGCAGAGGATAAGATTTTTTGTCAAAGCAGTTCCCAAATGACAGCTTCACTGTGAATACCCATGCAATATTTCGCCAGCTATATTCCTGTTGGAATTATATATAATCACTTATACTCTATTAAAGGTATTAATGCTAAGGAACTGAACAAGCTCACTGGGAAATGTGAAACCTCCAAAGCAGATAAGCCACAGCTATGTGGCAGAGCCTGCAAGCATATAAAACATACCATGACCTACCAACATTCAGGTGTGATCTGCCTCCAAACCACCGCACCATCTCACCCAGCTACCTCAACTAGGTAGTACTTGGCCTCATACAGAACTACACACTTGCATCAACTTTAATTTGCTAATAGGCCTAATGTTCACTGATAATTTAAAATGGCAGAGGATTTGTTAATTCAGAGTTTGTAGCATAACTACATGCATCCCTCTCAGCTCCTCAATACAACTTCAAATAAAACAGACCTTCATGTCTTCAGACAGCACAGGTCTTAACTGAACAGGCTTCTCCCAAAATGAAAGTTTTGATAGACATGCTAGTAGATGGAGTTAATACTTTGCTGCTGAATTTAGCTGACTCAGCATTAGTTTCATGCCAAAGATATACTGCAAATGCCAGTCACAACAATTTCACATACAAAGATAATTTATTTCCCAAGTCCAACACTTTTCCTATGCAAAAATAAACAGTACTAGAATTAAAGTCTTGAAGTCATTCAAAACGATTGCCTCAAAACCATATACACATCATCATACTTTAGAAAACATGAAAGTCAGTTTGGACCTCAGCAACTTTAAGAGAAGTAGAGTAATATTTAGCTTTGGTGTGGTTTTACATTTCAGTTTTTGTCTGTAACATGGAGTCAAGATGAGTCAAGGTGGGTTTAAGCATTGTATCAGCACCTAAATTTACAACCTCAGTTCACAGACCTCATGCTTTAAGCATCTAAAATTTCATACTGTAGCAATCCAGAGGCCTTGTATCTTCATGGCACTGGCAGAAATAATGCACCTAAAATACAACTGTGTAGTTCAACTTTGAACCAACCCTCCAGGGGAGGATCTGCCAAGTAATTGTTCTTTGACAGTTCTCCCCTTAGGAATTCATTTCCAGGGCATACACACTGAGTTAGTATCAGCACAAAATACTACTGCTTTCTCTTAAACATTAGCCAGAAAAGGAAGCACTGTCTTATCCAACAGCTAAGTTGCTGCAGCAGTCCAACAGGATGCAGCAGAACCAGGTTCCAACTCTTCCTCAGAATAAGGAAATTCAAACTCCTAAGAGAATGATAAACACTATAATGACACATTGTAAAGTTCAATGGGAATTCTTTGTACTGCTGAAATGGTTTCACCTTGCAAGGGACTTGTGAAAACACAGGAAAATTGAAAACTTAGGACTGTGGTCCTTATGCCACCTTGGGGAAAAAAGCTTATAGAAAGCATACAAATATATTGATACCAAAAAATCAAACTAGCTTACATACTAATACTAGGAAAAATATACTACAAAATAATACTACAAAAAAGGTGCAGTGTAAATGTACAAAGGCAAATTAGATGTCTGTTATCATTAATCCAGACTATATAAGTCATGTACCAATGTATTTAAAACAAAGTTTTGTGAGGTCTTATTTTAACCTTTGGGTTTTGTGACTAAACATTTTCTTTTTTACAATGACTAAGTAAGTCTCTGGTACAGCATCTGAACCAGATCCAAGTAACAGTACAGAGAAAGCACTCTAATGCAAGACACTTAATTACATCTGAAATGCTATTGAAAAATAAGCAGCAATATTCAACTTCCAAGCATAAGTGGAATACTAGTTTGACTATACAAAGGATTTTACTTAGTGAAAGGTCTCATACAGCTGTCTTCCTTAAACTCTGAATACTTCCCAGAAGTAGGTAGACAGCCTAACATTGTCTACGTGTGGTTCTTTCTTTGTCTCTCTCATTCTTTCCCATAGTGAGAAGATGTTTATAATTTTCTACAGGGAAGTTTTTAATATTTTGTGTCTATTAGCAAACATGTCTGGTCTAATCAGACAGACAGCAAGAACCTGAGGATGTATACCTTGTAAGAGGAATTAATAATGACAAGATTTGTGAGGATCTTTTGCACCTCTGTTCTAGGCTGGAAAGTTGCTTACTTCAAGTTCTTGTTAATGAGCAACCCCCTTTTAAGTGTTAAACAACCACAAGAAGGAATGCTACTTAACGCATAGCTTAAGTTCTACTTCTGCCCTCCAGAGAGGCCGAAGCAGAATCCAGTCATGGAGCTGGCCTCTACACTGGGATGACTCTCATGGCTGCCAAGAGCCAAGTTTTGACATGAGCACTCCTCAGGATTTGCCTGGCACTGCTGCAGTCAGGAGGGCTAAGAACTGCGACTAAAACATACACTCATCCAGCCTGGAGGGGGTTTGTTGCAGACTGCCACATCCTGGCTATGCTTCAGTGCTTCCTTTTCTGTCTTCTGGGCTCAGTTGCCACAGACCGACTTGCATCCCACTGCCTCCCCTCCAGCCTGAGTCACAGTCCCACTTCCCCAGGTCTTCTTCAATTGCTATATTTCTTCATTTTCCTTCCTGCGTGAGTCAGAGGCCCTCCTGCATCTTCACACTCCCACCACTTACATTCTTTGTTCCTCTTGACAGGCCTCACCCTGCACACACGTTTCCCAAAGGAGCACCCGCCTTAGGCTCCCTCTTGGTTTCTTCTTCCCATCATCGCAAAGTCAAGAAAAAAGGAGTCTGTGAGGTTGGTGGGATATCCCTGCAAGCCAGGCAGCATGACAAGACAAGTGGTCCTTATCTAACAGCTTACCTAGTGCCTAAAGCTGTTCAATTTAACCTGCAACCGGCTGTGGTCAAGTGCCTCCCTCACCTCTTCTCTGCTAGTGGGTCCCCCAGAACAGGCATCTCACCATTGTAACTCTCTGCAGTTTTGTTCTGTGGACATGGGTGAAAACACTCGTGGCCTCTAGGTTTTGATTGTTAAATCCAACACCAACCCTCTTTGGTCCATCCTGGCAGTGGTGCCTTGCTGCTACAAGCTCAGACTCCAGATCTAGTATCTCGTCCTTTCTGAAGGCCTACCGTAGCATTTCTATGTCCTCAGTCTCAGGGATTCACCTTCTTGCATCTTAGCTCTGCAGTGTTCAAAGCACGATGTTTAAAGCAAGCAGCACATGGACTTTGCTTAACCTCTCTGTTCCCTCAGTTCACTCTTCAAAATACAAGCACAGAAGTTCTAGAAAAAAACACCAAAAGCAGTATGTAAATCTGCTCATGCTTCTGAGGATCAGGGCCACTGATATGGGACAGGGAAAATGAATGCTCATCTAATTTTTGCTGATGGTCAGACTTCCTTGAATCTCTCCCATTATCTCTCTGAAAAAATATTAAATAAATATTTTTGTAAGTGCCTTCTTTTTTGTTCTATGCTGTTCTCATTTCTCAGCAGTGAGCATCACAGAGGGTTGGGCACAGGAGGTTAAAGAAATACCAGAAAACTGTAATTTTAGCAGCCTCCAGGCAATACTGTTCAGCTGCTGATGGCCCTGCTTCAACTTCACAGGCTTAAAAACACAGCACCTTAATTTCAATAGCTTGCTAAACCAGAGACCTTAAAAATCCAAACAATTAACCAGTTCCCAAAACCATCTCTAACTGGCACACAGACTGCTACATTACATGGCTGTAGATGGCTTTGTATAATCAGGAGGAAGTAAGAAACACCCAAAATTATAAAATGCTTTGCTCAGAGCTCTGCCCATTTCCTCTCCAATTTAAGGCCTCACTTTGCCCCTCCACTACACAGTGGACATCACAGCAATGCATACCTGCTTTTACACTGCCTGACTTGCCTTCACCCTCAGCAAGTTTGCCGA